CTCTCTCTCTCTCTCTCTCTCTCTCTCTCACACACACACACACACACACACACACACACACCCAGACGGAGTCTTCCAATGCCTTTCCACAGCAGAGACCTACTCAGCCTTCCCTACAGTTGTAAAAAGTTGGGAGGAAGCCTGGAGACAATGTGAGACTGGGCTAAAGCCACCATTCTTAAAAGTGATGAAGGCATGTAAGCAACATGGACAAAGGCCAGGAAAAGTTCCCTCAGGGAAAGGAACCAAGTCTTTAAGGGAACAAAAGGACAAAAAGAGGGCCTGAACACATGGCAAGCAAGCCCCTCCTCAAGTCTCACCCACAAAGGAGTTGAGCCTGCAAGGGAAGCCCCTTCCCACCAATTCTAGGAGATAAAAAGAGGTCTTGAAGCCAGCCCAGCCTTTGGGTTGTTTTTGGATCCCAGACTTGGCAGCTTCTGTCCCTCTAGCTAGTGCCTGGCAGCCTAGTAATGGATGCTGGTAAATGTGGACGTGTGTGTATGTGTGTGTGTGTGTGTGTGACAAGGAATTTGTCTTTGGTGCTTATGCTCTCAGTGTACATAAAAAGACAAGATACATTCATCAAGAATCATAAGGTACAACACTTAATGATAGTCATAGGGCACAAATAAGCAATCAGGAAGCAATCAATATCAATATAAACCGTAAGGATACAAACAACAAAGTTACCGTCCTGCCGTCATAAGTGGGAGGAGATGGGTGATAGCAACGATGAAAAGACTATTGGTAATAGTAATGCAGCCTTAGTTAATAGTTAAGACAGTGGTAAGGGAATTATTTGTTTAGCAGAGTGATGGTGCTCAGGGAAAAACTGTTCTTGTGTCTAGTTGTCTTGGTGTGCAGTGCTCTAAAGCGTCGTTTTGAGGGTAGGAGTTGAAAAAAATTATGTCCAGGAGGCGAGAGATCTTTGACTCCAGATCACCAACATGGGGAGTGACAATTGCCTTCCAGGCTCCCATGGGAAATAAAAGGGGGAAATTGGTATTAAACCAGTTTTATATGTCTAAAACAGGGTGAGTGGAATCAAGAAACCTTCTCCAGAAAAAAAAAAACAGACAGACAACAGCAGGAATACCTGGCTCTTTTTCCTAACATCATCAGCTTGTCCAGCTAGGATTTCCAGATTTAAAATATACTAGTTCACAAGGCATTCCTGCTCACTGGAATGTTAGGCATTTTTCTGAACAATCAAAACACTCTGTGTTTTCCTCTTAAAACGGGCGGTGGGCCCATTGTCTCCTGGCCAACAGGACTCGGTGAAGAAATATTGTACTGTACAATAGTCAAAAGAGCAGGGCCTTTCTGAGACAGGCCAGAAATGCAGGCGCCCTCTCCTTGTGCCTGTGTTTCATTGGCTCCTTGTAAGAAGGCCTCAGCCAGCTCTGGCTCCACATCACAGGTAACCATGAAGAAGGCTGGGGCACAGCTTCCATGACGCTCAGAGGTGGGTTGCTACCGGTTCACACTGGTTCGGGCAAAGCGAGTGCGTGTGCGCAAAACAGCACGGGCAGCGAACCGGTGGTAACACCGGCAGAAACCCATCCCTGATGACAGTGCCTCCTTCTTCTCTCCTCCCAGCTGCTCTGTTCTGGAAGAAACAAGCATTGTTATCTTCATTTAAAGCATGTGGTTTTTTTCCCCAAACTTCTTCCCTTTAAGATGTCGGGATTTCAACTCCCAGAATTCTCCAGCCAGTTGAAATCCACATATTTTAAAACGGACAGGGTTGGAAAACGCTGCTTTAAAGGATCAGATTGACAGCAGGCTCAAAGGGAGGTGAGGGGGGCATCCAGTTGAATTAGAGCAGTGTTTCTCAACCTTGGCAACTTGAAGATGTCCGGACTTCAACTCCCAGAATTCCCCAGCCAGCGAATGCGAATGAGAAACACTGAATTAGAGGGTTTAGCTGTGCAGTGTGGGACCCTCCTTTCTTCCCATTAAAATCTGCTTTTCCTGCTTTTTGCACAGAGCATGTTTTTTAAAAGTACACCTCTCCAAGCCTGGATCACCTGTACCCATTGGCAGAAAATTTCCTGGCTACCGAGCAGGAATTTTTTCTCTCTTATGTAAGCAACCCTAGTCTTAAGTTGTGCTAAAAAGCTGCAGAACAATCTCAGACGGAATTTGAAAGAATACTCTGTTGACATTTTCAACACCGTAATAGATTACCATCATCTGAATCAGGGTTTTTTTCTGAATGGGAATATTGCATTGGGAGGTGTTAAATGCTTTTATTTCTCCTTCATACTATATGTATACATGTACAGGCATTCTTTAAGATTATGTGTACACAGTTGTGACCTGCCAGTGGAACTGGCAGCAGAGTCAGACAGTGAGGAGGTTGGGGAGGAGCATAGGCCAGTCCTGGAGGCTGGGGAAGGCTCGGACGAGGGCTCTGTGTCAGAGGCAGAAACAGGGCCGAGACCGTCTGGCAGTGATCAGGTGCCTACGGAACTAGACAGCAGTGAGGCAAAGGAATAGCTAAAGCCTGTTCCCAGTGTGCGCATGTGCAGAGCTACCAGAAGAAAAGAACAATTCAGAAATCAGGATCAACTTGGGAGTAAAGTCACAGTTGGAAGGTGATTGGCCCCTCCCATAGGAAATAAAAGAGGAGCGAAAGGAGAGTGGGCTTTTGCAGGAAACATTTCGTTCCTTGGTCGTTAGATTCATTTCAGGAGTGTGAAGATCTGTCCGTGAATCTCAGAGACTCTGTCCCCAGTTTTTCCTTGCACAGCACTTCATTTGGAAAATGTTTACATGGCAGCTTTCCAAGATAGATAAGGTCTGTAGTCATAATTACTCCTTTGAAAGACTGTTTGCCAGGCCTTTGCTGAAGGTGAATGAGAGGAATTCACATTCATTTAATAAAAGGGGTTTTGTCGGGACCAGGACTCTGCCTCGTGCTTTTTGGGGAAGCCTAGGTCAGAACATACACACATATACAGTATATAAGTGCTTATATACATACATACATGCAGACACTTGGATTCCCCGTGTTTCTAATATTTTCCCCCAACCCCAATGTTTTTTTTCTTTTAATCTTTGTAATTTTGTTTAATAAAACAGAGAAGAAAAAAATCTAAAAAGTTGTGAATATTTCTTGACTAAGTATTTCTCCACACTTCTCCAATGGTCCTGGCCTTTCCTAAACTCGTGACACATAATTAGAGTGCTCAGAATAAAACCAAATCAAAATGCAATTATGCTGTTTTATGCCATGTTGGTCTATGGAGAAAAAAAAAACTGAACCCATACTTGTGCAATAATTTTATGAAGACCAAATTAATGCAATACAAGTGTGTGCAAGCTTTTTTGTTCATTTCTTTAAGCAAAATGTTGCAAAAACCAGGGGAAGAATTACTTCACCTCTTTTAGCCATGAATCGGAGGGACCACAGTCGACTCCGATATAGCCATTGTGCATTGAAAGGCTTCTTTGTGTTAGAAGAGGTGGGGATCAGGCATACAAGGCAAGCCCCCCTGGCAAAAAAGGTTGGGGGGGGGAGAAGGGTCCATCCATCCCTATCTCCACCACCATTCTTCCAAGCTCGAGAGACCAAAATAAAGAATGTTTTTGCAGATTTGAAGAATTGATACCTTTAAGTATGTGGGCCCGGTACAGATCCTTTGTCCCCCCCTGACTCCTTATTGTTGCCCCTCTGCTTTGTAGGAGACACAATCACAGGGGTGAATGGACTTAACGTAGAAGGCATCCGGCACCGTGAGATTGTGGAGATCATCAAAGCATCTGGAAACATGCTCAGGTAAAAGCCAGACTGATGCTTTTAGCCAGAACTAGCCGCCTCCCCCATCCACCACCCCCCTTTCCATGTGCCACTGCTGTGGTTTCCAAGCCATGGAGGCACCTCTCATCCCACTTTGTCCCCTTGTGCAGGTTAGATACCTTGTATGGTGCATCAATCCGGAGGGCTGAATTGGAGGCTCGCTTGCAGTATCTCAAGGTGAGTGGCATTCAAGCAGGAGCGTGCGATGAAAAGTTTACAGGTTTGGCTCGGGTGACGGCCAAGAAGAGGCAACCGTTTTGAATTAGGACCTGTACATGGGCATGAAATGATATCCCAAAACTCAACCTGGGTAACTGCCCCACAAATATTTATATAGACAGAATTGCAGATTTTTTGGTTTGATCAGGATGCTCCATACTCCTAAAAACCACAGAAAGCTGTCCTATGCCAAGTTCAATTGCTAGTCCATCTGGCTCAGTATTCACTGTAAAAAAAACAAACACCAGTTTTCACTGCATAGGAATCATTAGGAGGAAAAGGAGCAAAGTTAAAATGTCTTCCCTTATTCCCCCCCCCCTGCTCCCACCCAAAAATGTGTCCCTTCCCATTTGCCGTCTGCTTCACCCACTGAGCTCCCCTATTTTGGGATTCTGTGCAACTCTCCAGTCAAAGAAATCCCCCCTGCATAACAACGTCTTGGCATGGAGGAAATCAGGGGGAAATGCAACCTCTAGGGCAGTGCTTTGCAAACTAGAATTTTCAATAGGCATCAGAAGAAGAAAGAATAGTTGTGCCGACCAAGCTAACATTCATTTTACACTGATCAATAACTTTTCCACTTTCCATCAAATGTTTTTCAGCACTATTCACTTTGTTCTATCACAGTAAATGTCATTCCCACTGTTGGTTTTGATGTATCCGTTTTTCCCAGCAGGAAATTCTTGATCTAGTCTAGTTCTTCACATGCATTATATCCTACCAACAACAAGAAGGGATGATGATGATAGCCATGCCACCTAGAGAATGCAGGAGATGTTTCAGGGCTGAAATTTTGGGCTACTTTCCCATTTATATTCGGCTGTTGTTTAGGTGATCTATTTAAGAAAAATAGATGTATGAAGCCTTTTAAGAGGTCTAATTTTACTTACCTTTCCAAGCCCCCCCCCCAAAGCAAAAAAAAAAAAAAGTAGTGGGCCCGCCCCAAAGTGTATCTTTATGAGTTGAGGGATCCTTACTCTTATTCCCCATGATTCAGGTGTAATTTAAGGTGATTCTGGACATGGCAAAAGGAATACATACACTGATATAAAAGAATACAGTTTGCATAACTAAATTGAGTACATTTTTTTTACATTGCCTGATTTTTGGATTTTGTTTGCTATTTATAAATATTATAAAAGAGGTAGTGTGGTGTAGTAGTTAAGATATCAGGCCAGAAACCAGCAGACTGTGAGTTCTGTAGTCTTAGGCATGAAGCCAGTTGAGTGACCTTCGGCCAGTCCTTTCCTCTCATCCCTAGATATATTGATTCAAAGGCATCTGTCTATTCACACCTCTCTCTCTCTCTCCCTCCCTCCCTCCCTCCCCCTCCCTCACTCACTTCCTCACTCACTCACTCACTCACTCACTCATCTACCCTGTTTTCCCCAAAAATAAGACCTCCCCAGATAATAAGCCCAATCGAGCTTTTGAGCACATGTGTTAAAATAAGCCCTCCCTGAAAATATTGCAACACAGCAGCAGCCATGAGGTGACCATGCTTGCTGCCTCCTGCACCTCAAAAATAACAAGACCTCCCCAAAAATAAGTCTGCTTATTTCAGGGGTCAAAAGAAAATAAGACCCTGTCTTATTTTGGGGGAAACACAGTATCTATCTACCTATCTATCTATCTATCTGTCTGTCTGTATCTATCATCTATATCTATCTATCTATCTATCTATCTATCTATCTATCTATCTATCTATCTATCTATCTATCGGTATCTACTGATAGATCTATCTATCTATCTATCTATCTATCTATCTATCTATCTATCTATCTGTATCTATCTATATAGCTATCATCTGTCATCTATCTCTATCTAATGTTGAAGGCTTGAATACGTTTTTTAAAAGAAAGAAATTTGAAGTAATAATAACACAGAGCAGCTTTGATGCCTGAGCTGCTCTCTTATTTCTCCCATTGTTCAGAAAGATGCTCTTCATCATCTCCTACTGCATATTTTTCTTATTAGATATTTCATATACTAAATCGGGAAGTGCGACCTGCAGAGTTTGCTAATATATGGAGCCACAGCCTTGTTTATTTACCGTCTGAGAATCTATAGTTCTGAGAATTTTGTTTATGCGTTTAGCAGGAAGCCTCCCTGTCTTTGAGAAGTAGGTGGGCCATTAGTGTCATTTAGAAGCCAGCAGGTAGTTGGACAATAGGCTGCAGCTCTTCTCCTATGTCAGGCTTTTGTTTAGTCTTTTTGCAGCCTATAAATTTCCAGCTCTTGTCTATTGAATTCCTTGAACCTTCAAACCCAAGAAGGGGAAGCTATCTGCTTTACCCGCGGAGCAAATAAAAAAGGAAGGATGAGATTTAAGGAGGATGGCTCACCAGCAGTCCAGCACCACTTGAAGGAGATTTTAATTAGATCTATAGACATGACTGATCCTTGTTGTTGTTTGTAACATCAGTTTCTTTCCATTGCAGCAAACGCTCTATGAAAAATGGGGAGAATATCGGTCATTGATGGTCCAGGAGCAGCGCTTGGTCCATGGTGAGTGTCAGAAGAGTGTCAGCATTTTTTTGTGAATGGTTGAAGGGGCTGGCAGCAGAAAGACATATTTACAGACCACTCTTGGCTGTGTTGGTGTGAACCACTAGGCAGGAGTGGGATTCAGCCAGTTCGGCATGGTGGATGTTAACTGGATGTTAATTTTAATCGGGTTCGCCAAACCAGTAGTTGCAAGGACTGGCTGACCTCACCCACCTCACCCCTCCCCTCCCAGGAGTCTCCACATGGCCTGTTTTGGATGCCAGGTAAGTTCAGAGCCCACATAGAGACTCTGGAAGCACAAGAATGGGCCTACTGGAAGTCCAGAAACTGGTCCGTTTCCGGCCTCCGTAAGGCCTCCAGAGCCCAGCTTCCCTGGGCTCTGGAGTTTTCGTCCTCCCGGAGGTTCAAAAAAGTCTCCAGAACCTGGGAAGCGTGAACCCGCCATGGTGCAGGAAGCTGATTAGGCCACACCTCCATGGCCATACCCACCCAGCAACCGGGCAGAGAACCCAGAGAAATGTTTCAATCCCACCCTGCCGCTCGGTGAGTGTTTCTGGGAATTGAAGTCCATTCGACTTATGGAAACACCACACTAAGCCAAATCAAGATTACAAAGTGTGGATCCAAGTGTGAATCAGTTCTTCTCTTTGGGAGAACAAGCAGGTCCTTGCATTCACTTCAGTAATTGTTTACTCTCTTCTGGTAGGGATTGTGGTTAAAGACCCCAGCATCTATGATACGTTGGAGTCTGTGCAGTCCTGCCTGTACGGCTCGACACCCTACGGGATGCTGTTGAGAGGAGCTGGGAGTACTTACAGCAGCGTGGGCTGTGTCAGCACTGCCACCGATGAGACCGAGGAATCTCTTTACCAGACTTGCTTTTTTGACTCTGCCGACTCCCTGGACATTGTCCCTGCAACAGCCCAGTTTTCATGCCCCAAGACAACATTAACCCGCAGCATCAGCGTCAAATGCACCACTACCACCACCACCACCAATGGGGATGCCTGTTTCTGGGACAAATCCAGAGAAGCAAAGAACTCTGTGGTCACGTCAAGGCCCCCCAAAAGCAAACATGGAAGCTTCCGCAAGAGACTCCTCAAGTTTATTCCTGGGTTGAACCGCTCTTTGGAAGAAGAGGAGAGCCAGTTGTAAAAGGACACTCATTGGGAAAAGCAAAGCACAGTTCAGCCATGAGGCCGGCTGCCTCTGCTTGCTGTGGTCTCTATTTATTTATTTATTTGATTCACAGAGGACTGGGCTTCCGAATGCCAACTGACCAGCTCTATGAAAATGCAGGTTGCAGTCTATCTTGGACTTTTGGAAGAATAATTCATCCGCCTAGATGGGAGTGGGATAACACCACCCGTTGGGTGGGTCTTCAGAGTCCTAGGAAGAAATGAGTGGTGGGAGAGAAAGAAGACCTCAAAAGAAAAGAAAAATGTAGCACATTGTGAGGCCAAAGAAGTACAAGTCATTTTGTATACTTCATTCATGCGAGGGTAGTTTTGGTTTGGGATGTTTTTTCAGGAATTGGCATAAAGCAGCCTCTTCAAGTTATTGGGTGTCATTGTGGGCTATAGGGTGACTTCTAGAAATGGATGGGAAACAGTACATTATTATTGGTTTAAGTAGCATGAACAGTTTTTTTTTTAAGAAAAACACCTGAAATGTTTGGTTTGGGTTTGTACATTGGGTGGCTTTTGTTAGGACTTAATGAGGGGGGCCATTAGAAGAGCCAGCATGGTAACTTAGCCTAGAGCATGAAGTAGCATTTGAGGTTTAGTCAGATAGATTGAGAAAGCTCAGATCCGAGGCAAAAAGTAGAAAGCAAGAGCAACCGCCATCTTTTATTGGACACCCTCCAGGTGCATTGGGACTTCCAAGTCCCAGAATTCCCGTTTAGCCTTGAATTTGGCCACGTTGGCTGGAAATTTGCATTACATTTAGAAGATTCAGTTCTACGATGGAGTGAGCTGTGTAGGTGGCCATGAAGAAGCAAGAACTCCCAAGGTGTTTCTGCATTTTGGTTTTGTATTTTTAAGCGTTGAAAGGCAAACTGCCAGGAGTTTTATACACATCAAGTTCAATCGTTCCCTTACACTTGGGGCCTGGTCAGTTCTAAGCTACGCTTAGAACAGTGGTTCCCAAACTTGGCAACTTTAAGACTTGTGGACTTCAAGTCCACAAGTCTTAAAGTTGCCAAGTTTGGGAACCACTGGCTTAGAAGAAGGAACACTTAATCCATTTTGTGAGTCCATGTCTTGCAGCCAGCCCACATGTCTGTAGCAGCCAATACTTTCCCTCCTGCTGGGAAGGCCTATCGATTGAGCTGTAAATGTTTTGGGAACTCCCTTCCAACTCCCTCCCCCACACACACAGTTTATACAAATGTGGTTTCTGTGCTGCTCTGTATCTATATCTGCTCTGGGGAGCCACATCCTGTCTGTCTCATTACCTCCAGAGGCTGCAGAAACTCCCCACAACTTCCCTCCAGTCTTTAAAAACAATCCAGATGTTGCTACACGTTTCTCCTCTCCTTATTCTATAGGGCAACTTTGAAAGGAAAAGTTATAAGAAAACTTTTGGTGTTACATTTTTCTCTTTCAGTGTACCTAATTCTACTTGAAAGGCCAATAGGAAGAACAACATTTAAATTCAGTTTATTCTAGTTTTACTGACTTTTCTCCAATTCTGTAAAAGATTGGCTCTGTCAGGAGTGCTCCACTTTGTTCCTGCTGAATTATACAGCAATTCTCAGGACTGCTTAGGAAGAGAAACAGTAGAAGTCAAATAAGAGCCAAACCTTAAAGATCTGGATTCTGCAGGGTAGCTAGATATTATGAAGGACGGGTCCTAGGCAGAATGAAATTTGTGGCAACCCTGCCCAAATCCCAGCATAGGATCTTTCTCAGGATTGCTTAAAACTATAGAAGGAGGAAGGCAGAGGGGGAATATGGGCAAACATCGACATAAAGAGTCTTGTTATGTTGGCTGAAAAAATGAGAATTGTAATCCACCATATCTGGAAGGTGCCAGGTTGCGGAAGGCTGGGCAAACCTTAGACAAAACAAAAAGAGGTGTTTGTCTAAAACCTTAAAGAAAAAGTGATTTGTGAGCTTCCATAGGCTACTGCACTACAACTCCCAGTCCCCTTTATTATCCGCTATGTGAAGCAAAGGCTCTTGGGAATTGTAGTTTAGCAACATTTGGTGAGCCATATTCCTGGCCTAAGCGAAGTCCCTCGGAATAGAACTGTGCCTCTAAAAACAGCTCCGAGTCTGACTGCTCCAACCTCTCACCAGCAAATGCCTTGTGTGAGGGAAACCAAAGGGCAGCTTTCTGTTTTTTTGTTTTTAACTTTATCTCAGGAAGTAGCTGCAGGAAGAGGGGAGGAGGGGTGACACAGCGCAGATGGGAAAAGAGTAGCCGTTGTGCACCCTGACAGATATTTCTTAAAAGAGATGTTAAGAGGGAGGGGGGGGAAAGCAACAAACAAACAAAGCAAGGCCAGCAATTTTGGGAGGCACCATGTGCCAATAACTGTATGCATAAAAAACTGATTCAGAGTTGGATTTTTGTACAGACATGTGCAGCAATGTTTCCACTGTAAACTTTTGGATAAAACTTGTGAGATGTTTTGCATTCAGACAGTCGTGCTCTCATTTTCTGTTGGTCTTAACAAACAGCAATGAAGGCCTTGGAGCTCTTCAACCATCTGCTGCTGGATTTTCTCAAGAAACCGAGGAAGGTGACCTCTTGACTTTGAAAGCTCTTCAAGCTACAGAGAAGACTTGGGATACCAAAGTGCAGGGTGTTAATGCTGCCCAGCCCAGGCCAAAGCCGATTGTCTTATTGGGTGGAAGAACAGTATTTAGAACTGTGGTGGAGAACGATGGCCCCTTTATGACTTGTTGGACTTCAACTCCCAGAATTCCTGAGCCAACCATGCTGGCTCAGGAATTCAGGGAGTTGAAGTCCTTCTTGTGCCATATCCGTCATCGGACATTGGCGATCATGTTGGCGATCCTATTTTTATCAACAGCTGCATGAAAAACTGCTGCTGAGTTTTGACCAAACCAGTCCCTTAGATTTTGAAGGCATGATGTTCTTCTTCTGCCTGGACCTCGTTTGTCTTCAATCTTTTTCCTGGAAGATTAAGTAAAAATATGCTGTATTTTTCTGGGTGTTGCATCACATCTCCAAAATATTCTTTTGCTTTTTTATGGTTTTAATGATTTCCCTTGGCTTTCCCAGGCGGCTTATCCCTCATTTCTGTTGAAGTCCACAAGTCATAAAAGGGCCATCGTTCCCCATCCCTGATTTAGAGGGTAGGAGCTTCTCTGGATGTTTTGCTGCCAAAGCTTTGAGGTTATCCAGCTGCTGCTGAGCCCCAAGTGACCCAGTGGTTCTTCAGCATTCTTTCATGCTGCTGAGTCCACACATTTGCTTCCCGGCAGCCTCCGGCTTCTTTTGCAGCCAAATCGACTTCTGCCTTTAGAACCTATGACTTCAATCTAGATCCAAAGTGGAGTAGTTAAATTTAACTTTGGACAGAGCAGGGGTCATCTTGCCTCTGTGTTGACATGATTGTGCTATGGCCTTGCTCCTGTAACTGAAGATGTAGGTTTCCATCCAGGCTTGGACACGATGTATGGAAAATCCTGGATTTTGCTGAACTCGTGGGTTTCTTAAAATGAAATGTAGCACTGTCAGTAGCGCTATTCACCTTCCAGCAGTCGGATGCCCGATAGAGATCATTCTTTACTGATCCCAGGAAGCTCATCGTGATAAAATCTAAAGTTGGAGGGCAAAAGGGCACCCTCTAAACAGAAGTACTTTATGCATTTGCAACCACTGGTTCCGCTATACATACCCATAAGTACCAGTTCCACTGCACTTTATATTTACGAGAATTCTGTATTTGCAAACACGGCCTTGAATTCAGCAAATGCATCACACACAACAAGCAGACGTTCCCCAACATGATACTGAGCAACTACGCAGTGTAACAAGTAATACATGTTACAGAAATCAGCCCCAGTGCATTTTAATTCCCAGTATAAGAAACCAAAATTATAGTTCTATTGACATGAAGCTGTTTTCAATCAATGATTTCTTAAATTATACTAAGATATGGTTTGTTCAACTATGGTTTTTTGAAGAAATCACAATTGTTCTCACACTGTGCTGTTATCCCAAAGTCAGAGAATTCTGACCACTTCCTATGAGAGGCATTCCTAGAGCTTGATATAAATCAATACAGATAATCTTCAACTTATGACCACAAATTGGACAAGAACTTCCCTTGCTAAGCAAGGCGGTTGTTAAGTGAGTTGTGCCCAATTTTACAACTTTTTTGGCCACAATTGTTAAATGGGTCTGGCTTCCCCTGTTGACTTTTGCTTGTTGGAAGCCAGCTGGGAAGGTGACAAATAGAGATCACAAGACCTAAGGGCCTTTCAGGGGTGAAATATGTTCTAGTTGCCAAGCACCAGTATATTGGTCACATGACCACGGGGAGGATATGATGGTTGTAGGTGTGAGATCCAGTAATAAGTATTTTTTTTCAGTACCATTGCAATTTCAAATGGTTGCTAAATGAATGGTTGCAAGTTGAGGATCACTTACAAAACTGAAATGAATTCTTAGTCACAAGTCTGTGCTGCTGATTTTGCCTTTTCCAATCCATCCTAGTCAGCACTTAGAGCAGAAATGTCAAACTGGATTTCTTCAAGAGCCGGATCAGCATTATAGTTCTTCTCCACAGGCTGGCTAGGGGGCCGGAAGGAGACGGGATGGATGCTTCCTGCAGCACTTTGCTCGCCAAAATGGGGCGTGGGGGGCACATGTGGTCCTTTATGCCCATTTTGCCCAGCAGGGTGCCACAGAAGGTTGTCCAGGCCGAAAACGGGACACGGGGAGGGGAAACGTGTGCAGCCCCCCCACAAGCCCCATTTTGGCTGCCAGAGGCACTGCGGACTGCTCCTTTGCTATAAGCTGACTCTGTAAAAGCACTATGAAGCGATATATAAGTCTAAGTGCTATTGCTATTTCCAGGCCGGCTCTGCCCCGAACCCTGACTTTGAAGGAGATTCAACCACTTGCATTCTTGTAAAACCTCCTAGATTAATGTGGTCTGTTAGGATTTTTTTCTCCAATTAGCAAAAGCACTTAGACTGATATACCGCTTCACAGTGCTTTACAGCCCTCTCTAAGCTGTTTACAGAGTCAGCCTATTGCCCCCAACAATCTGGTTCCTCATTTTACCCACATCCGAAAGATGGAAGGCTGAGTCAACCTTGCAAGCCATCAGGATCAAACTCTTGGCAGTCGGCAGAATTAGCCTGCAATATTGCATTCTAACCACTGTGCCACCACTGCTCTTTTTAAGGGCAAATTAAAACTTTACTTTGGGGAAGTGAGCAGCAGTAGTGGTGGTGATAGTGCCTTAAAAAGTGGGCACCTGGAACTCTTTGAAGGAGAAATTCTAGCATAGGTGTGTTCTTTAGAAAAACCAGGTTACAGTGGTTTGGTTGGCATGTCGTTACCCCCAAGATCACCTGTTTTCCAATGTATGTATGTATGTACGTACGTACATACGTACGTACATACGTACGTACATACGTACGTACATACATACATACATACATACCAGGGGTGGGTTTCTCGCCCCGTTCCAACCGGTTCGGTTGGAACGAGGCCGGCGGCGTCCTCGCGCATGCGCGCGCCACGCATGTGCACGCGCACGCCGCGCGCTGGCGTACTAGCGTCTGTGCGATGCTCCAGCTGCTCCTGGAGGATCGCGCAGGCGCTGTATGCGTCCTGCGCATGCGTGGAAGCGCAAAATTCGGCAAAACCGGGTAAGGAGCGGGCGCGGGCGCGGGCGGGCACGCAGGCGCGGGGGGGGGGGCCTTCGCCGTTCCCGGAAGTTACTTACTTCCGGGTTTGGCGACCAACTGGATTGCAGGGACCGCCGCGAACCGGTTGAAACCCACCCCTGATACATACATACATACATACATACATACATACATACATACATACATACATACATACATACATATATATATATATATATATATATATATATATAAAGCTACCTGCAGAAACCAGGCATGGACAAGGACACCTAATAAACAGCAAACTAATTGGCTGCTTGGCAGACCAGGGGTTGAGGAGGCTTATGCGGTACCCTAGTGCTAATTAACTTAAAGGACCACCCCCACCCCCACTCCATCTGTTACCTGCCAAGCGGAGACCAACTGTTTCGCTTGTTCAGAGGAATACATGCTTAGCTGGGTGTTTCAGAACCCTTGGCAAAGCCTTTCCCACTAATCTCAGTTAAAGCATCTGGGAATAAGCCAGGTTTACAAATCCACTCTCTTCCAATTGCACCTTTTACCCTAAGCCAAGGAAGATAACCTGTTTTACCTCAGGTCTTTGTGGCTGTGCCCTTAACGACTGCCTGAAGACCAGATATCAGCAGGTAGAGCTTTCAAGATTTTGACTAGCATTGCCCTAGCTAAGCTGCATGATGGAGTGGTGGTGGCGGTGGGGGAGAGGAAAACATTATGGCAGGTTCCACACATCGTGCTGTATTGGAAGGCAGTTTGTTTTTCTCCTGAGAGGGAACCCTAATCCCCATCAGCCTCTAGCTTTAAGATAAAGTTGCAGACCACCTGCTTTTATTAAGAGAGATCTGTAACAGCACAGCTGAGTTGTTTTGAGGAAATACACAGCATGCTCTCTGGTGGTGCCCCTTTTCCTGAGAGCAAATGGCTGCTACAGTTCCCCCTTGCAGAGCTAAGGATGGACGGTGCATTGGTGAAGTGCCTTCTCTATAAAATATCTTTGGTGCAGTGATGAAATCTAAAAAAAAATTATTATCGGTTCTGTGGGCGTGGCTTGGTGGGCGTGGCTTGGTGGGCGCAGCTTGGTGAGGAGTAATGTGACTAGGTAGGCGTTGCTATGTAGCCATGTAACTGGGGGATCAAAAGACAAAAACTCACTTTAACAATGTCCTGCTGGAGAGGGTTGGACCAGATGACCTCCAGGTCCCTAGAGCCGAGGTGGCGCAGTGGTTAAATGCAGCACTGCAGACTACTTCAGCTGACTGTAGTTCTGCAGTTCGGCTGTTCAAATCTCACCGGCTCAAGGTTGACTCAGCCTTCCA